CGAAGCAAGTTTTTATAAATATTTTTGTAAAGGACGCTTTTTGGCAAACCCTGCTTTCTACAATGCCGCTCATTCCTTTCTCGAAGAACTCTAGAATGTCTAAAAAGAACTCTAGGACTCTGGAAATGCTTCAGAGGGATTCTAGAAGAGTATATGAATGTATATTTAGTTAGAGAAGTTGTTGAAAACAAGGAGAAGACCCCCCTTTTGTAGAAATTTGTGCCCGTCAGACTAGGATCGTCGTCTCGCCTGACAAGGTTGGGATCGCCGTCTCAACATTTGGGATTGCCGTCTCGCCTTTGGTCAACGACGAGACGGCGGTCTCGGTTTTCTGGGTAGAATTTTCTTATTTTTGTGTACAAAAAATATTCTTATTCTAATATGGAGCCTATTAAATAATTCTAGGGACCTTTAAGGCCTTGTCCATCTTCGAACGGAAGTCTTCTGCTCTTTTTTTTTAGGCTGGACAAGATTTGAGGTCTACAATTGTCCCCCCTTCACCTGACTAGCCGACTGTTGGCTCAATATCCAAAAGATCGGCTGGAGGGTGAACGAGTTGACCATCTTGTCTGGTTGTCCTTCGGTTGTTTCCCTTGTCGTGGTAGCCGACCTTTTAGAACATTTTAGAATACCAAATCCAAAATAAATTTCTGAAACAACTAATCTGAAAATACATAACATAATGCCTAATTTGAAATAGCCAAATCGGAAATGAATTCCAGAAACACAAACATGTTTTGGTGAAGGGTAAAATAAGATTTATTTTAATTATGGGGATGTAGGAAGAAACTATGAGGTGTGGAAAGAAACAACCATTTTTTAATTTAATCTTACATATTTCTCAAGTCAAGTTTATTTTGACAACCTATTTATTAGACTCAGTTAATTATGGTATCCTATCGAGTGATTCTACACTAGGGATGACAATTAAATCTGTATCTATTGGGACCGACCCGTCTCCGCCTCGAGTTTGACGGAAAAAAATCGAGTTGACTAGGGGCGGGGACGGGGGCGGGGACGGGTTTCCCCCGCTTTAAAAAGCCAGGGGCGGGGATGGGTAATGTAATCTCCACCCTGTCCCTGCCCTGACTTTATATTTGAATTTTAAAATATTAATATTTTAAAAGTATTTCTTTTTTTATTCTATTACATATAAGGTTATTTTTTATATTTCAACATTTTTACTTTTTTTCTACCCATTTTTTAATTTTTTTGTCTTTTTTAATCTTTTATATCAATTAGTTTATTACAAGTATTCTCTCTTACCTTTCAATCTTTCACATTTCCTTAATCTCTCCAATAATTTTTTTTTCAACATTTTCAACCAATTTGATGAACACAAAGTTATTTTTTTCTTCTTTATCTTTTTTTAAATATTTTACATAAATATTAGTAGTAACTAATATTATTTTATTTATAATTTATATTCATTAGGTTTTATTATGTCATATTTTTTTATTTTTATTTGTCATATATCAAATTTTATCTTAATAAAATAATTATATTTTAAAGAATTAATAATTTAAACTTTTATTACTTTAAACTAATTAAATAAAAATTAACTTATTAAATATTTTTTATAAATTATATATTTCATACTTTTAAATGATAACTTAAAAATAAATTAACTTATATATATAATCAAATATTTGAATACATTATTATTATTATAATAATAATAATAATAATGTTATAAATACAATAAATTAAAAAATATATTTAATTAATAATTATTATAAATTGTAAAATTATAAATATTTATTTATATATAAAAGATATATTATAAAATTAATTTATTATAAATACATTATTATCATAATAATAATAATAATAATAATAATAATAATAATAATAATAATAATGTTATAAATATAATAAATTAAAAAATATATTTAATTAATAATTATTATAAATTGTAAAATTATAAATATTTATTTATATATAAAAGATATATTATAAAATTAATTTATTATAAATAGAATTATTTTTTAAAAAAATAATATAAATCAAATATGGAATGACGTTATAGAGACTGAAACCTAAGGAGAATAAGATGAAAACTTAATTTTTAATTTAGATGGAATCAAATATAAAAATAATTAAAAAATTTGAAGATAAAGATTGGGATGAAAAACTCTCTCTCACCCCACCCCACCCCGTCAACGTCCCTATTTATAGGACTCAGTTCATTATTCTGTCACTCCACACTAATTTGGTGTGCAGTTCCTTCTTCTTACACCTCCATTTCCCCATAAACAACCCCTAACATGCTTGAAAGACAAAAATGCCCTTCTGTATTTTTAAACCTCACTTTCTTCTTCCCTGTTTCACCTCCATACTTGTCTCAAGAACATTTGTTTTCACTCTCCCAGGTTAGAAATTTCGTGATCATGGTTCATGCTTTCAATTATATAAATTTTGAGCACGTTATGATGTGCATTTCTGGCTGCATTTCGAAATATTTTCAGAAACCTTTCGGGTTATATATGTTCCAGAACATATTTCTAGAAAGACTAATCCAAAAGTTTTTCGTATTATATTTTTTATAAATATATTTTAGATTTTTGAATTTGAAACATAGTTTTTAAAACAAAATTCAAAAAAGCTTTAGGATACAATTTTTTAAATATTTTTTAATTATATTTTTCTAAAATATATCCTAAAATGGATATATTTTAATTATAGGATGCAAGAAAAAATGATGAAATACTGGATTTTAGCCTAACACCACATTTATGTTTGTAAAAATAAAATTTATTTTAATGTTCTTTATTATTTATCATTGTATTAGGAATAAATTATCCCAACGTATAAAAATAACTTTAGTTTCCCTTATAATGTTTTAATCTTATCACTGTATAACCCTTTTGTTTTATTTTTCTTAGTGTGTTTTTTTAATTTTAATATATTTTTGTATTTATTCTTATTCAAGAAGGGTTATTGTGGACTTAACGTCGCTAATGAATTAAAATATTAATGTTTCTAATTTTGATATATTAAGATTATTGGTGAATGTATTTAATTTGTTAATTTATATATGTTTTGATGTGAAGTAACCAATCATTATCATGGTTATGTTATGTATATATTATTTTTACTTATTTAGTTTATCAATGTATGGAAACTGGATATTGATTTTTAGTGCTTGGGTTAAGGAGGAATTTGAATTATATATTTTTTTTAACACATTAATAATAAAAAAAATATTTAATAAGTAATATTTTCAATAACATGATATTATATTCATAACGATGTATTGTTTATTTTAAGACGTATATATTAAGATTAATGCATGCTTCTAATGGAATTTAAATAGTCTTCGATGTCCAAGGAGAATGTATAATTTTCTACATGCCTTTAGTTAACGCTTTAAAAAATTAATATTTAAAAGAAATTTGAAGTTGACCTAAGATATGAAACTTGTGTATAATTTTTTCCCTTTTTATATTTTCTATATAATAATAGTAGATGTATTCACTATTTCCATATCAGAAAGAGATTCAAATTCGAATGTTTAAAAGTTAAGATATAGTCGTAGACTTTGGTCAACTTTCATATACCAACTTTTGGAAAATTCATGCATGAAGTTGAAAATGTTGCTGCGAAAAGTGATCTTCTCTTTGTATTTATCTCACCTGTCTGATGTGTGCAAACTTGTAGCAGACAAGTTATCTCAAGAGAATCTCTTGTCAAGTCAAAAGCAAAATATTAGAAAATTTTATTTATTTATTTTAATTTTTCAGTGGACAGTAATAATTCCCACTAAACACGCCATATTATCACTTATAACATGCTCACAGTATAAAAAAAATATTATTGAATTAAAATTATAGTTATTTTCTTTGAGAATGATTCAATCTGATGCTCTTATAATAATATTTTCGGAGTCGATTTTTGTTTTTGAAATATTATTAATTTTAGAATTTTAATTTATTATAATTTTATCATTTAAAAATATTTCGATCAATTAAAAGAAATAATATATATAAATTATTTTTAAATAATAGACAATTCACTGCTATAATGGTTAATATATTATATGTAATTAATTATTATAAAAACTAATAAATTTATTATTATAAGAGTAATATATATCTATTTTCTCATATTAAAATTGTTAAGGTTTCAACATAAAATCAATTGATAATAGGTAGAGTAGTCTAACATGTATTTAAATCATACCAATAATATGAGATAAGCGATATGGGACTTTCAACACACTCCTCCAACGAAGTTAAAGGGCAACTTTTTTGCCCATGACAATAATCTGGAAAGATAGTAGGTTTTGATCTAATACCATGTTAAGGTTCTAACATAAAAATAATTGATAATATGTAGAGTAGTCTATCATGTATTTAAACCATACTAATGATATAAGATAACCAATGTGGAACTTTCAACAAAAATAAATAATATATATATATATATATATATATATTTAATACGATAATTGTAACATATACTTATATTTAATATAATTAAAATATTTTATTTATTTTTTATATATTATTATGTTTAAAATTATCATTAGAAAATTTTTTAATTTTATCTCAAATATCAATATATAATATGAATGCTTATGTTATAAATTTAAGTATCATTAATAATTTATTCACGTATTATTTAAAATTTATCTACCATATTCACATATAAGTTTTTCAGTAAATTAGGTCTCATTTTGTTTAAAATTGAAAGTCAAAATAAGTTATATAAACTCTCCTCTTTAACCCAAAAACAAAATTGTCAGGAGCAAAGATTAAAAAAATTATACTCGTTGGAGAGAGTACAAGATATATTAGTTGGAGCTGTAATGAAACTATTGCTTAAAGAAAATGGAAATAAAAATCCAAAGTGAAACAATGCCAACCAACGTCCAACTTTTATGGTCTTTGTTGGACAAACCCCACACTCCCACTCACTTTTTCCTAAAAATTTTGATAAGAAAGACCTGACCTTTAAGAGAGAGAATTCGCAATTCTTCTTCCTCCCAGACAATCTCCATGGAGGGTTTCAACTGCAACAGATCCAGGTGTCATGGAAATGGGCAAGTGATGCAGATGGAGAGGTGCTACGGAGGAGCACCAGCAGCAAGGCCTTATGATATCAGCTCCTACAGTCTTTCCTATTCTCAAGCTCAAATGGGCTCAAACAACAAGGACTTGAAGATGAAGAAAGGAAAAAGGATGTCAAGGGCCTCTATTTCCAAGTCTTGGAGCCTTTCTGATCCTGAGTTTCAACGGAAGAAGAGGGTTGCCAGCTATAAAATGTATTCTGTGGAAGGGAAAGTCAAAGGGTCCTTTAGCAAGAGCTTTAGGTGGGTCAAGGATAGGTACTGGCAAGTGGTTTATGGATGGTGGTGATTCAGTTGTTACCCTTCTCTTTTCTGTCAACACATATATATATTTATTTGAGTTTTCTGTTCATGATTAGCAGAATTATGGGTTATGATTTGATATTACCAAAGCTTATGTTTATAATTTGATATTACCTTTTCATTGAGTCACCTTCTCCATACTTTGTTTTTCATAATTTTGTTAGACGAGTCTACTGGATTCAGGTTTTCTGGGTAGTGTCGTTGAATTCTGGTTGGAACAAGCAATGAAAATAGCTTCATGAGTAGGAGATCTTAAGACTTCTTCTATTCCTCTGTCTTTGGTATAAATTATTTTATTCATTGTAGTTCATTTTTATTAGGTAGCAAAGTTAGTCATCTATATTAGTTTTTTATTTATTTATTATATATGTAGATATTTCCTTGTTAATGGATACTATTGTATATTATTAAAATTCAATTTTAAACATTATAATATATTCTATATAGTTCCATAAAATTAAAAAACAACAATAATAATTAAAAGTTATTTTTATCCTCGTATACTCAACATAGTTATGCAACTAAAAATTTCCAGCACTAGAGATTTTGATCATTAGATAGGCAACAACTATCCACATCAAATTTTGATTATTCATCACCATTATTGGTCCATTGGAGCCTTCTGTCTCACTTTCCCTTCACTTTATTACCTTTCTCATTATGCCCTTTTTCCTATAATGCATGTACATAGGTATCATTTGATTTACATTAATTTAATTATTTTACATTTAATTATTATTTTTTCTGTAATATTACTTCTTTTCTTATTATCTCAAGCAATGTTGAGCAAATATTTATTATAGTTATTAATTTAAAATAAATTACATCCACTTAATTTACCTGATTTTAATCGAGAATAAAATCACAAAGTTTATTTTAATTTACACAATTCCATTATTTATTTAGTTACATAATAAATTAAAATCATTATAAAACTAAATTAATTGATATTATCATAAGATTTTATATTTGTGTTCCTAGATAAAATATTAACGTTTATTATACAATCGAGTATCGAGCTATTCATATATATCTCTTAATTCTCTATTAAAAATTTATATTTCGATAAATTTATAAAATTACTTGAAAATTGAGATTAATAATATTTTATATATATTAATTTTTTTAATATTTCAAAACGTGTTTTAAAAACAAAGACACTCTCATTATTAAATTAAACAATACATAAAATAAAATACAATTTCATACATATATGTTCAATAATTATTATTTATTATATATTTCTCACTACCAAAACTTTTTATGTTTTGGATAAAAAAATTATTTTTAAATATATGATGTTTAAAAGGTTTAATATTATATTAATTATTTTTTATTAATTATATTTTTATTTTTTAATTATATTTATTACAGAGAATAAATAATAAATGACTTAAAAAAATCTCGTTGTAGAAAGAATATTAAAATAATAAAGATATTAATAATAAAATAATAAATTTATTAAAAAAAATAAAAATTAAAACTTATATTAACTTATGCAACTAAACGTTTATATCAGATAAAATATAAAATTACATAAAATTCATTTATATTAGAAAATCCAGATGAACCCAGGACAACCTGTCAACATGAATGAAGTGAATGTTGGAATAGGACATTTTTGCGTTACCATCCTATGAATGTGAATCATGACATTTCACGATTTTTTTTTTTTCTAGATCATCATAATAAAGATATACAGTAAATTGTAATAATCATGAGATTATTATCTATCAGTGTAATATTTGTTTAAACAATTAATTTTTTATATGAATAAAAAAAATCATATCGTTTATAAAATTTAAGAAATAATCAACTAAAAAAAGATAAATAAATATATTATTTTTATCAAAATCATTAAGTGCTAGGTTGTATGGGACCATTCCTCTAGATACCATCAACCAGATTGAGAATATGCCATTGCTTTTGCATGAAGTTTAATATGACTAAAATTCTATGCCCTGATTAGTTTATGGTTTGTTTTAGTGTTTTCATGTTTTTTTTTTTTAATTCTCAAAAATATTATGCCTGCAAAAGTATCTATAAAATATTTTGTATTACTTATTGACAAGAGATTTTCACGTGTAATAAGAATTAACAATATGTTGTGTTAACCGGCTTTGAAATCAGAAATCATAGAATAATTTGTTCTCTGGACCGCCAAAGTTCTGCATATCTTCTAATTATGAAATTTAACACTAAGTTCATAAAATCCTACCTCTAGTAGAAATGTTAATTAATATTAAACAATATTAATAGGAAATACTCTAATCGGAGGTTGTCAATTGAAACTTGAAGTTGAAAGTAACAGTCTAACAGATCGTGAAGGAGAACACAGAACAGAACATAGTTAGCAGAAGTGCAACAAAGAGGAAGGAAAGTTGAATCATTTTCAGACAGCGGCATGTGGGAATCTATTCTGTTGACTGTGGCTGCAACCGCCGGCAATAACATCGGAAAGATCCTTCAGAAGAAGGGCACTGTTATTCTTCCACCTCTTTCGTTCAAACTTAAGGCATGTCTAAAGTTTCATTTTTTTTTTGTGTGTTTTAAATTGGCATGATTTGATTTCTATTAAAGATCTCACCTTTTATTTTTTATACTATTGTCATTTGAAGCATGTGGGTATCTTTGAATTTTGTAATTGGTTAGTTTTAACAGCTGTGTTTATTTGGTGTCTATGTAAAATTGAACATTTTCCAGAATGTGTAAGATTTGAGTGAGAATGGATGAAATACCAAGATCACTTTCTATTTCGTTTATGTGGGCTTGAACTGAATGTTTGGTTATTGATTCCATTGTGTTTGCAGGTCATAAGGTCTTATGCTTCAAACAGAACCTGGGTGATAGGTTTTCTAATGGATATATTCGGGGCATTATTGATGTTAAGGGCATTGTCTTTAGCTCCAGTAAGTGCTATATCCCATGTGTTTCTGGTGCTATATCCCAATTTTCGATTATGCTTCTCGATACTATATGCTACGTATTTCTAATTAGACATCGATTGAATCTTATCGATTCCTTTTCTTCATTTTCGATTGTTTTTCTCGATTTGCCACTAACACCGTGCCAATGTGGTGAAGGAAAAAAATTGGCACTCAATTAAGGGCTTTCTGTGGTGAAGGGCTTTCTGTAACCTTCTCTTTTAGTGTTTTGCATTGGTTTTTGACACGATGATTTTCTTACGTTAAATATATTATAGGTCTCTGTGATCCAACCAGTTTCTGGCTGTGGACTAGCAATTCTGTCAATCTTTTCTCATTTTTATCTCAAGGAAGTCATGAATGCTGTTGATTGGGTTGGCATTACATTAGCAGGTTTTGGCACAATAGGTAAAGTAAGTTTATATTTATCGTTGAGCATTTTGTTTATTCTTTACCTTACTCTGCTTTTGAACTCCACGACAAGCAAGGTTGTTGGGAGGGGAGGTGAATAACTTTGGAACCAAAAAAATGTATTGGATCCTGAATTTTTTTTAAATATTTTATAGCTCATTCTGTTACTTTTGATTGAGTGATGAATGTTTTGGCTCTTGGCATAATTCAGAACTCAGATCTACATATAATAAAGTAATCGTTGTACCATTTTATTTGTGTGCATACTGTTGTATTGCACTCCTGTGTCTTGAGAACCTGAACAATGGACTGAAATTTTCTGGAGTTTTCCTCCTATTTATTACTTTGGCTGCTAAGAAAACTAAGTTTGTGATGCAGGGTCATTGTATTCGTGTGTTTTTGTATTTATGAGATCCTAATTGGTTAAATATCAAGTGTTTTTCTATGCTTAGGAGTTGGTGCTGGAGGCGAGGAGCAAGAGGTGGTTGCTCTATCTATTTTTCACATACCAGGGCTGACATTTGTTGTTTTCATCTTGTTTGTAGGTACCTTGTCTTATGACTCAAGTTATTTTATAGTCAAGTGCTTTAATGATCAGAGATATTTATCATTCATTAGTTTGGCATCATGGCAAGTAAGGCAAGATGTTGTGAGAAAATACTTGAAATCATTGAGAAAGAAGCATAGTGGTATTGTAGTATTAATTGGAAGCCTATGAATGGTGTGACTGCCAAACATACATTTGACCTTGAGTCTATCGTGTATACATACCAAGTATCATGCTTTAAAAGTGACATCTAATCCATGCATGAAGTTGCATATATTTCTAAAATCACAATTCTTATTTGTATGAGAAAAACGTCATCTGATTACTTGATAATCTGTTTTTACCACTTATTTTCACGGGTTCAATCTGGTGCATTAAAATGCAGATGTCATAGTCACTAACTTCCTTGCTAAATCAATACAATATGAAGGCATTTTGCTAATAGCATTATTAGAAGACTATTTCTTTACGTACAATACTTGTTAATGGTTTGCATGGGCTTTAATGACTTATCTGTAAGAGATTATGAGTTCACCAGTCACCAGTGCAATCAAATGGTATCACTGTCTACCAGACATTTTTTTAATTGTTAGAAATATTTGTACAGATACTGCTTAATGGATGGGTTAAAATATGCAAGAGTCAACGAAGGGAACAAGAAATGGTATTCATGTTTTATCCATGCTGGAATGCCTTTAGATTACATATTTATTTTCATCTAAAACACTAATGAAGGGTGATTTAATGAGCCGTGTTATACAGATGGAATATGATGTCGTGGAGGAAATCATCTATGGCTTGGAATCTGGTATTTTGTTTGGGTACTTTTGCTTCCTTATCCACAATTTTTTGTGTATTCCATTCATGTTCAGATAGTTCTCACTTTTTCTTATACCTCACTACGTAATATCAGGATGACTTCTGACAAATAAATTAACAGTTGTCTGGTAAAAGAAACATTGCATGATTTGGAGTTTAGTATTATTATTTCATGTGTAATGTGGTTGTTTTCATTTTTGGGATAGAAAACGGTTTTTGGAGAGAAAAGAAAAGAATGCAGTTAGGAGGAGGAGATATATATGATATATAGAGGGATTGATAACATCTACACACTTCTTTATTTTGATATTCCACATTTTATTTTGGACTAAACATAATTTTTTACCGTTAAAAACTTGAAATTATGGGAAATAGTGTCTTTTTTATATTTCTCTTATGTGTGCCTCTACCATTTAGTTTACAAATAATTTCAAGGTTGCCACAATCATCATGCCATAGTATATTTCAAAACAGAGATGCAACCATTTCAGTCAACTTGACAGGACAAATAAAGCCGTTGAAAACTATTACAAGATACTTCTTTGTTGTTAATCATTACCATCATATTAGTTTTGACAATTGTATTGTATATGCGTTATTGATAACAAAGAGTTCCAGGTAAACTATACATTATTGATTATATGTCATGCGAAATAAGAAGTACATTTGGGTATTTAAAGATTGCAACATTAACTTTCTGAAACCTTAGCATTAACTCATCAAAATCAAAATAATAACTACCTATAATCATAATATTAACTACCCAAGACATCTGCAAAATCAAAATATTCCAACTAACATTTAAACTTATTATTTTTTTATTAATTTTATCTAACAGAACTCCCCGTAAAATTAAATCCTTCTCTTCAACTAACTGAGATCAATCGTACCGACATCACTGCTTCTTTCATCCTTCATCCTAGGTCCAACTTGTTGTCAATCCTTCATATCTCTTCTTCTTGAATACCCGTTTCATACCAATAAGTTGAACATAGTTCGAAAATTCAATCATCACCTACGTGTCGTTACATTCTATAACTTGGATCTTTCCGTCCATAATAACTCGTCTCTTAATATTTTTTCTACACTTTCCAACCCTAATATACTTCTACTCTTCTAGACTCACTTTTGTATGCTTTGTTTCTCAAAGTAATTTTATTCTTGAAAAGAATATAATGATGAATGAGCTCAGACTTAGCTCGACCAAGTTTGGCTTCGAACCGAGAAGAGTGGGAGATCCACAACCTACTGACTTTATTGTTTCTTCCTCTACTTTGTTCATTATTAGATCTTGTTTTTCATCATGACCAACATCATGATCATCATCATGAATCAACTCAGTTAGACCACAAAATTGCAGGTGACCAAATCGGTGATCCCTCTTTAACAATGTGTCATCTACATTTAGTTTTAGATACCTCTCCCGAATGCTTCTCAGTTGCAACTTGTACGTTCTATTATTCCCCATCTCAACTTGGGCTATTAGTCTCTCGAGCTTATCCTTTAATTGAAGTGTCTTTCATGAATGTTGAGTATCCTCTCTCCAGCTGCCTCATACTCAAAAGGTTACTCTTGAGATCTAGAACATAATACATATCTCAGATTGACCCGACTAGGTCATCTTTCTGCAAGTAGTGAATTGTACCTTGGCCTTTTACCGAGACCTTTGAAATATCTCCAAAACAACACATGATTGCCTTTAACTTTCTCCAATTCGCTAAATAGGTGTTCGTCCCTACACATGTGGTTACTTGTACCTATGTCTAGATACCATATCGAATCATCATTATTATCTTCACGTCCATCTGAGTTGTAATTTGTTCTCATGTGTACTTTCGAGTTGTAATCGACATTCTTGTCATTTTGCTGAGTTATGATCTACCATCAAGTGTAAAGGTTCTCCAACTTTCACATGTTTTATGAGGTTAGTTGTCTCTTCCACCTTTTTATCAGCTCGAAAATGTCCAATCTTACCACAATTATAACACTTATACAAGTAACATTTGCATAATAGTCATATTTGTCATACTTAAAGTACTCAACATTATAGGTTGGTGAATGGTCTTCTCTCCAACCACATCATCTACCACACTAGTTTTGCTGGTTTCCTTCTTTCTCTTCACGACCTCTACCACCTTGGCCTCGACCATTACGTTTTCGTCCTCTACCTCGAGTGTTCTAAGAATAGAGAGTTTTCTCTTCTTTCACAGCTGTCTCACTCTGGAGCGCTTGAATTGTTGCCTCTTTCTTCTTTTTCTTCTTCCGGTACTCATGGACTTCAAGAGAACCAAGCAACTCTTGTACTGTCAGCTCAGACAGGTCCTTTGATTTCTCTATCTCAGACATTACATTCTCAAAGTCATCAATTAATGACCTCATGATCTGCTCTACAATACGAACTTAAAAAATTGTCTCTCTATTCCGAATAAGTTGATCACCACATTTTCAATACACGTGATGTACTCGGAAACTCCTTTATTCTCATGCTCTTCATCTCTCAATGTAGTGTTTGTAGCCGAACTCATTTGACTCAATCATCGTCCTTGTATGCTCTCTCCAACACATCTCACACTTCTTTTAAAGTTTTAGCACTTGCTATCTTCTCAAAGCTGGATTCATCAACAACTCAGTACAACATATATAGGACTGTCTTATCGTTCGCACACTTCTCTTTCAACGCTTTGTTTGTGGCTATTGAATTCTTTCTGTGCTTTTTGGTTCTTCAAAACCATCCTCAACTATCTCCCAATAATCTTGAGATCCAAGAAAAGCCTTCATCTAGAGACTCCAATTATCATAGTTGACTAACTTTGTCAACCTGGACAAGGCTACACTGTTTGCTAAACTGGTCATCATTTTCTTCAAGTTCTCTCACACTCAAACTCAGGCTCTAATACCAATTTGATAACAAAGGTTTTCTGGTAAATAGTATATATTGATTCTTTGTCATGCGAAATATGAATTACATTTGGGTATTTAAAGACTGTAATTTTTGCCTTTTTGAATCCCTAACATTAACTCACCATAATCAAAATAATATCTCTTGAGAATCGTAATATTAACTACTCAAGATATCCGCAAAATCAAAATATTCCAAGTAACATTTAAACCTATTATCTTCCATTTAAATTTATCCAACAATTATGCCATGTTTGAAGCCATCTGTATAGCTTATTATTAACTTTTATTAGCTTATGATTTTAAGCCATCTGTATAGCTTATTATTACTTTTATTAGCTTATGATTTTAACATTTTTTTTCTTGGAGGCTAAACTAAGCTTAATTAGAAATTTAGAGAATTTTATTTACACAAAAACATCATTGCTATTTGCATGACAGATAACAGAAAACTCTCTTAACTTTGTTTACACCTAAATGCAGGATGTCATCTGTAATATCAAAGATGGGATTTCTATTCCTGGATCATGGTTTTCCCAAGTTGTTGACTCCTGCATGCATCATGATAAGTGTCTGTTGTAGTGGCACAGGCTTTTACTACCAGGTATTCTGAAGAGCACTTTTATATGATCTACTGCCGAGGCACTTGTCCAAGCAATGCTCTATGGTGCTATTTCAGCCACGGTAAACTCTTTAAATAATCACTATCTTCCCTGCTCCTGCAGACACGTGGTCTAAAGCATGGAAGGGCTATTGTAGTTTCTACGTGTGCAGCTGTGGCATCAATTTTGACTGGTGTTCTTGCTGGGATACTTGCTTTGGGTGAGCGACTTCCTTCAGAACCAAAAGCTCGCTTGGCACTTCTTCTTGGATGGTAATAAAAGATGTTAAGCTTTGTGTTTTACAGATTTTCTATTACCTTTCGAACTAAGGAAAAGGGCCAAACGAAAATTCATACCTTCCGTTTTTTTATCTCCACATAATAAATATTCATGCATAGTAAAAGGAAAGAGGAGTCAGCAGTAGCAGAACTCATGCTTTTGAAATAGTATGCAAGTTAAACTTTTAGATTGATAGAGTCCATGATAATTGGGTTTTTGGAATAGTATTCGATTCTGGGGTGGAGGTTATAAGGTCTAGGGCCTAGGGCTCTTTGACTACAACAAAGTTAGGATCCAATTGCAAGGTGTAGGACTTGAGTCCTGCATTGGAAGTACGAGATTCTGGGGTAGGATTTATGGTGCCTTGGGCACTCCTACTACAACAACTAGCTTTTGAGGTGATTCTCTAAAGATTTTTATCCATTTCTTCCTCATTTATAATGAAAATTTTTGGTTCTCATCTTAATTGATCTTAACAATGGATTTGAAGTTAAAAGATTTCACGTCCATTCCCTTCCAAGTTTTTTTACATCAAACAATGCAGAAACAAACACCAGCACTTCAGTACTTCTTTCCATGCAGAAGAAGCTACATCATATTTAGTTGTCTGCTACAAACATTTGTTGCTTTCATCTAATTTGCTCAGCCAGTCATTATTTGGGTTGGTAAATAAACTTAACTAGATAAACTATAATTGAAAACATAGATTAAACCTATTTTAGAAAGACCCTATTATCTTGTAATTCTTGTTTCTCAAACAAAATGGAAATTCATGTTCTTATACATATGAAACATTGTGCTGCAGGCTACTTATTATTGTGGGTGTGATTTTACTTGTTGGTTCAGCACGGTTAGTGAAATTTCTTTCTTGTTCTTCAAAGCGAAAAAGAAGCAATGTGGATAAGAATTTTGGCATTAGAAGAACCACTTCTTCCCGTGCGAGGGAACCAAGTCCAAGTGCTATCATTCAAGCAACAACATTAAATCATTTACTATCATCATCTTCCAAAGAAAAAGCCTGAGTTAACATGTGCTGGATCATGTTCATTCATCCTTCGCAGGATTTTCCGGCAATAATTTACTTTCTAATCCGGTTTGCAAAGCTAGGGTGTATTGTACGAGTATAGTGGCTGGTTCATAAGAGGATTTGACATTTTGGTGATCATTCATTCCTTGTGATTTACAACATTATGGATGAAATATTTAACTTCTGAGGCCACCTTGTCAAAACTTTTCATGAACTTCCATCATTTTTTGTTTTCAAGGATTGTACATGACAGGGATGATAGCATACCAAAATACAGAATTTGTTTTATTTGCACTGAAACAAAATTTGATAAAGCACAGTTTATTCTTGGGCACTGGTGCAGTGGTGCTCTTTGCTTAAAGGTGTTGCTTTGTTAGAAAAGAAATGTTCATAACATACTTTACAACATATTTCGTTTAGCACACCCTATTGCTGCCTAAAATTTGTTCGAAAAATAAAATATGTAGGTTTTAATAAATGCTGTAACAAGCATAAATGATTTTGTAATTTTCAATAGATGTTTATGGATGGGAGAGTGTGTTGCTATTACTTCTCCTTGTTAGGATAATGCGATAAGGAAATATAATTTATTCGAACAAATCACTCCAAAATCTACTTTTTCAAATAGGTAAATTTCAAAAATTCTTACTTCCAATATGTGATAATTCATCTAGATGTTGTATTTCATAATACAAAATTGGGCAACTAAGAAAAGAAGAAAACATTTTCATAAAATAAGTCTTCAATTTTTGTTTTGAAATTGTAATTATGTATAAGTTTGGAATGAAAACTTTTGAGAAACATTTCACTAGTCTAAATTATGATAAGGAAAACACAATTGGTAAAGGGGCATCTTTAGGAAGTAACAGCTATCTCCACTGGATGTTGTGCTTTAGCAAAAACAATTGGTCCACCATGATAGACATTTGAAGTCTACTTTCATAAGGATGTCAGAAAATATGGAATGTTAAAAGATTCTCATGCAAATGGATATAAGAATCTTTAACTTTCCATAGTTTTTTTACTTGGCTATGAAATCTTTAACCTTCCACATTTGAAGACTTTTCATCTTGGCAATGAAATCTTTAACTGTCCACATTTGAAGACTTTTCTGCTTAGAAAGTGATGAAAATGAACTTGGTGTCTTTTTTTTTTTCTTTTAAAAAAAGAGACTATAATGGTTGCCACGTTGTAGAAGAGGTCAATTATAAAGTAAAGTCTTCAGGTTTCAAAATAAGTGTAGGTTGTCCATGATTCACCTACATTGTGTAATTTTGGCACTGCATAGTGGAGCCACATACCACCCCATAAGCACAACTGAGATTTTTCCATGAAAATGCAAGTCATCATCATCTATTTGCAATTTCAATGCACTTTTATCCTTTAAACAATGTTAAGTAACAAGCAAATATGACTTTCTCACAGTGACTCAATTGACCATTAAATGAAATTATGCAAAACAGCAAACCACGTATACCAGAACTTCAAAAAATCAATGCACAGTAACAAACAACATATGACCCCTCCACAGGAGCTCTTGTATACATTTCAAGTAATGAAGAATTCACCGAAAACTTTTTGGAAAGGTGTTCAACCAATCAAAGTTTCATTCTGCATTCTCCTGTTCTGCATAATTACCCAATTGTCTTGTCTTCCAGCTCTCATGAGGGGCTACATGTTCATGGGAAGGAGAATATTGCTGCAAAAAAGGAGAATTTAGCATGTAGAGCTATAATTGACACAGTAACAGTACTCTATAGTCTAAACATTTCATTCACAAAAAATAGGCCAACAAGAAGAAAGAAAGAAAAAGATCGCAATTCAAAACAATGTTATATACTCAGGCATTTTGTTAGAGTTTGAAAATTGGAATATGGCATAAGGATAGATATACTATCTTCTTTTACAAGTAGCAGGAAAACAGAAAAATCTAATTTGACAATGATCACACAGACAATTTTGCCTTGAAAGTGATAAATATGGGACAAATTATGAGTTCCAATCTATTTTCATAGCCAAGTCAGAAAATATGGAAAGTAGAAGATTCTCATGTCAATAATCTCTTTTAGGTATCCAATGACAACTCTTTTTAACTGATTATTTTACAACAGCCTTGGCAGAACTCCTATACTATACCAACAAAAATGTTCATTTACTTTTTCTTCTTCTGAGTCTAGTGAATCAATCTATCATTTCCTTATTTTACAATATGAATGCAGTTTTGTATTAGACATTTCCTGATGTTTCCTGTTACATGTCATGGTAAAAATGGCTACTTATAATTAGACTTAGACCTCCATCTTCATGATAAGTTCTTTGGCTGATGAAGCTGCAACAAGTATATCCCGAGCACAAAGCTTAATGAAGCCTTCTTCAACACCATTGTCAAACAATGCAAGCAACGAGTTGTAGTAACCATCAACATTCAGTAGACCAACCTGTGCAGGATGGTACTGGGTTAGCATCTGTTTATACTATACCAAGGATTTTATATACTACTCAGTAACACATTAGGTTACCGGTTTTTTGTGTATTCCAAGTTGAGCCCAAGTTATCATCTCCAACAGCTCTTCCATTGTTCCATATCCACCTAATTATAAGCCAAGGAGAGATATAAGAAAGAAACAGTAACTATTGTACATTCAATACAGCAATCCAGTACACCAAAAATAGTAAATCTAAGTACATAAAAGATTATTTTTAGTAATATTAACATAACATCATCAATTTTTTTTAAACTATTTGAAAGCTGTTCTTGTAACTACCAGGTAGAGCGATAAATGCATCAGCTTCTTGAGCCATTGCAGCTTTACGCTCATGCATATCTGAAACAATTCTCACTTCACCAACTGGTCCACCAGATATCTGTCAAAATAGCCCAATTAAAACTTCAAAAAAAAAAAAAAATTGTTCCAAAGAAATATAAGATTTTTTTTTTTTTTTCACTACAGCTCTCAGAAAATCTTTTAATGGTTAGATTTCAATTTAAAACCAATTCACTATATCAATTATAAGTGAAGGGTCCAGTAGCTATATAAGTCGCATTTGAAGAATTGAGGTAAATGACTTTACACTGTCTCTAATATCCCCTTCGATTAAGAAGATATTTATTACAATAATCGATATCTAAAAAATGTCTATTACAATAAATGTCTATTACCACGTCAAACAAAGAAGGAAGAGGGATTGCACAACTTTGAAATCTGAGATTAACTATCCAAACTGGCCTAAAAAAACTTAGTTTAGTACACAATAATAACCCCCACCCTCCAAAAATAAAATACTTTTTTCTAATTTCTTTGACTTCAATTCAGATTAATTTTTTTGAAATATTGTATCTTGACTACCAAATCATCACATAAATCCCAAACACAAAGCAGTATAAAACATGAAGCAGTTCATTTTCAATGCTCAATTTAACTGTACAATAAAGAAAAACAAGTAAACTGACAGAGTAATGGAACATATACCTCAAGAGGCATGAGAGCTTTTGGAATAATCCTGTATATGTAGAGAGGGGTAAAGGAAAGAACAAATAAACAAAGAATGAGACAAAATTATTAAACCAATAACAACAGGCTTGCACAGTGAATGAATAGAGCATCCATGATTGACACTACAAAACAAAGCATGTTGCTTTAGACATACCCAAGAACATGGCATCCTCCATCATACATTCTCTGGGATATTAAGCCCATCAGGCCAACACTTCCTCCACCATACACCAAGTCAATGTTCCTCTTAACCTGTAATTCACTCCATAGAGTAAATCACAAAAGCATAGATAAAGACACATGCGAAACTCAATTGTTCCCTTCACATATTAGAAAAAAAAAAAAAACAAATTTTGAACATCACACATGGCCATTATGTGACACCAAAAAGTCAAGCACACCTTAAAACCCTCAAAACTAACAACTTTTTAATCAAAATTGAAGTTTTATTTCTGTAATATATTGACCTGTATAGATTATTAAAATTTTAAATTTTGATAGGACAAAATGTGCCAATAAATTTCATCTTTTATGAAACCAATAATCCAGAGCAATAAATGTACCAAAAGAATGTTGTTATCTAGAGAAATGAAGAAAAGAAAAAAAGAAACATTTCTGACGACTATCTGCCCAAATGCCCTTTATGGCAAAAAATGTGCTTTTTATGACAGATAGAGCAAGATAAGAAGAAAAAGAGAGTGTTGCAGAAAAAAAAGCTGACCAGTTCATTGGCCAGTTCAATGGTGGCGTCACTGAAAACTTGGCGGTTGCCGGATTTGCTGCCGCAGAAGACACAGAGCCTCTTGAACATGTTTTTGGCGACGCCTTGTTCCATTTCTTTCTCTTTTTAATTTGAAGATTATGTTGAAGATGATGACGATTTTGTTTCAGAGGAAATCCAAGACCATTGGAATCACAAAGAAACACAACATTTGTTTATAACAAAGAAAGATACATTCGTTTAAATAATGATAAAAACAAAATAGTTGTGATTGGTAATATTGAATACGTGATGATTTATATAGGGTTAAGAGATAATCAAAATTTTTAAGCTAAATAAATAATCGTGCTATTGTTCCATGATGTGATAGATATTAGTTTAAAAATTTAAAATTGATGGTTGGTGCTAACTAAAATCCTTTCATTAGTTGAATAAAATTAATTAATAGTTGATATAATTGCATGAAAACAAAGTTTAGTATAAAAATCAGTATAACAAATATTTACTCAAAGAATATAATTAATTAATCATTAATATAATTGTATTAAAAAAGAGTTTAATAATCATGACTCATAAAGAATATAATTAATTAATAGATGATAATATTGTATTGAAAGAGTTTAATATAAACATTAAATTAATAAACATGTATTTCAATGTAAAACTTCTTATAGATAAAATAATTAAGAATTGTTGTCAATATAATTTTTAACATAATTTTTAAGATAAGTCACTAGATTTATTATTATTATCATTATTATTTATAGTTAGAAGATTATATTAAAAAACTATATTTATCAGGATATTTTTTTCCTAGATATATTTTAAGTCATAATAAACCATTGAATTTTACTTATAATTTTAAAAATTTTACTTTTAACCGCTGATTTTTTTTTTCAAAAAATCAATTAGATAATGGTTTAAGAAAAGATAAAATATTTTCAATAGCACTCTAGAATAAAAACTAAAATAAACAATTTACTAGGAATGAAAAAAGTTAAAAGAAATAAACATTTTTATTATACGAGTAAAAATTGAATTTTAATTGTCATGTTGCATTGCATTGAAATAACTCATTCATTTACATTGATTGTTATGAAATAAAACAATTTTCATTTTTGTAAATAAAATTATCACTTCCTAAAATATAAGAGAGACTATCATAAAGTTTCACATGAATTAAAAATAATGTCAAAGTATTATATATTATATATAAATAAGAATAATTTGTATTTTATAAATAAATTTTATAAAATTGAATTAGATTTCAATAAGAGATTGTTATGGCAAGAATGACAAAAATTCAAGTTTGAAAAAAATATTATCAATAAATTTTATTTTTCATAATCATCCTCTATCTTAATTTTAAAACTTAATTACATTTTTTATCCTATACATATTTAATGTATAGGATAATTTTATTTATGTTAATTGAATTTAATTAAATATTTAAGTTTTAATTATATTTTTAATCTCTAAAATTTAAGATAAATAATTTTTTAATCTCTCAAATTAAAAATAAAAAAGAGTTAATTTTAATCTATGATTTTAATTCTTAAATAGTAAATTGGAGCGACTAAAAATAATTTTAAAAAACTCATTAAATTTATTATTTAAGAATTATTTTTAAAATTTGGAGAAACTAAAATATTTGTTTTAAAATTTTGGAGACTAAAATTAAAATCAATCTAAACTATAGGGATTAAAAATATAATTAAATCAATATTTTATCGTATATAGTTTCTTCATTAGTTGATTAATATGTTATTGAGTGAGAGTAGTAAAATTTGGAAAACTCAAGACAATTAAAATACGAAGGGTTAAAATTGTATTACATAAAGATATGATAAGTGTAATTGTTGGGAAATAAGGTCGGATAAGATGGAATAATAATAATACACCAATGTGAGATCAATAAAAGACACGAATATTTGTTAACCCAGTTCGGATTAAATCCTACGTCTGGGGGCGAACCAAGCCAGGAGAATGAACTAGAATAAGAGGATAAACCGAATGTTACAACTCACACAAGCCCGTATGAATACACTCTCTCTACTCTTTCTTCACACTTGGATTGGATACAAATGAGGTTACAAAATGAGGTATTTATAGCCAAACAAATCCTTCTTGAGAGGAAGTTGAGAGGAAGCTCCCTTCCTTTGACCAGGAAGTTGCAAGGAAGCTCCCTTCCTTTGACCAGGAAGTTGCAAGGAAGTAGCCTTCCTTTGACCAGGAAGTTGCAAGGAAGTAGCCTTCCTTTGACCAGGAACTTACGAAGAAGTTCCCTATCTTTGACCGATCTTTACACCTCAACAATCTCCCACTTGAAGATTGGTCAACCCTGTTCATCTCTCGCTCTTGGTTCCGCTAAGTCTCGCTGCTTTAATCATCAAGGCCAGTCGAAGCTACACACAGCCTTCAACTTTTCCAAAGTTACCGCCTTGGTCAACATGTCTGCAGGATTCCTATCTCCCCGAACCTTTTTCAGCTGCAGCATCTTCTTCTCTAGAAGTTGCCGGATGAAATGATACTTAACCTCGATGTGCTTCGTTCGCGAGTGAAACGCGGGGTTCTTTGCCAGATGGATTGCACTCTGGCTATCGCTGTATAGAGCCACATCCTCTTGAGGTCTCCCAAGTTCATTCAAGAAGTTTTGCAGCCAAACGAGCTCCTTGGCTGCCTCCGTCACTGCCACGTACTCAGCTTCCGTTGTGGACAATGTGACTATCTTCTGCAGCTTTGAGATCCAGGATACGGCCGTCCCGCCGTAAGTGAATACGTACCCAGTAGTACTCCTCCTCTTGTCAAGATCACTTCCTGCAAAATCAGCATCGACATACCCAGACAGGGTAAGGGTACCCCTGCCAAATACTAATGCCCGGTCCTTAGTACCCCTCAGGTACCTAAGGATCCACTTTACCGCCTCCCAGTGCATCACTCCAGGATTGCTCATGAACCGACTGACTACTCCCACTGCATGTGCTATGTCTGGCCGGGTGCAGACCATAGCGTACATTAGGCTCCCGATAGCCGAAGCATACGGCGTAACTCTCATCTTTTCTTTTTCCGAGTCATCCTGGGGCGAATCCTTGTTGGACAACTTGAACTGGCTTCCCAATGGCACTCGAACCGACTTTGCAATATTCATATTGAATCTGCACAACACCTTCTCAATATAATCAAATTGAGAAAGCCAAAGTTTACCAGCATTTCTGTCCCTCGTGATTTTCATGCCCAGTATCTGTCTCGCTTCTCCTAGATCCTTCATATCAAATCTCCTTGATAGCTGATCTTTGAGCCTCTCGATCTCCTTGACATCTGATCCTGCTATCAGCATGTCATCCACATATAGCAGTAAAATAATGAAAGAGTTACCGAACTTCTTCACATAGCAACAATGATCAGCATTACACCTGGAGTATCCTATCTCCAGCATGAAATTATCGAATTTTCGGTACCACTGTCGAGGAGCCTGTTTCAGTCCGTACAAGCTCTTCTTTAGGCGACAGACCTGCTGATCATTTCCTCTATATCCCTCTGGTTGCACCATGTAAATTTCCTCCTCGAGATCCCCATGCAGAAAGGCCGTCTTCACATCTAACTGTTGCAACTCCAAGTTTTCCGCCGCTACGATGCTTAACACTAAACGTATAGTGGTTAACTTAACAACAGGTGTAAAAACATCGGTAAAGTCAATACCGTATCTTTGTTGGAATCCCTTTACTACAAGTCTGGCCTTGTACCGTTTTGTTCCATCTGATTCCTCCTTGACCCGATCGACCCATCTGTTTTGAAGAACCTTCTTTCCTTGTGGGAGATCACACAAATCCCATGTGTGGTTCTTCTTCAACGAGTTCATCTCGTCTTCCATCGCAAGCTCCCACTTGCTCTTGTGGGCATCTTTAACTGCCTCTGCATAACAGTCGGGTTCCCCAGAATCAGATAAAAGTAGGTAATAAAGAGAAGGGGAGTACCTATCCGGGGCCCTTCTCATCCTCGGTTCTCGGCCCAGTGCCAGAGGCGTGCTGCTCTCAGCAATCGGTTCATCTGATTCTGGTTCTGCCTCTTCTTCTGTACGCTCGATCTCATCTATCTGAGCTCCCACTGAATCTGCTGGTCTCATGATTCCGGTATTTGAAATATCGAGACCAACATACTCCTGCATGGTCTTGTCATCGTCCAGGTATTCCTTCCGGTCCTTGTACATTATGCCTTCATTGAACACCACATTACGACTGCGAATAATTTTCCGATTTTGATCATCCCAAAATCTATACCCAAATTCGTCAGTCCCATATCCAATGAATGTACATTTGACGGACTTAGCATCCAGCTTTGTCCGGTCGTCATTCAAAACGTAAGCCAAACAACCAAAGGTACGTAAGAAAGAGAGATCAACTTTCTTACCACTCCAGACCTCTTCTGGAATTTTGTTGTTCAGTGGGACAGAAGGCCCCCGGTTGATCAAGAAAGCGGCCGTGCTGACTGCTTCTGCCCAAAACATCTTGGGCAGTCCACTCTTCAATCGCATGCATCTCGCACGCTCATTCAGTGTTCTGTTCATCCTCTCCGCAATGCCATTTTGTTGAGGTGTCCCTGGGACCGTCTTCTGCATCCGGATCCCATGATCAGCGCAGTATTCTTTGATGGCTTCACTGTTGTACTCGCCACCGTTGTCGGATCTGAGACATTTCACTTCCAGACCTGTCTCTTTCTCCACGAGTGCTCTCCATCTCCTGAAAGTATCAAAGGCTTCGGATTTTCTTTTCAGAAAGTACACCCATACCTTTCTTGTGCAGTCATCGACGAACGTCATGTAGTACATCGATCCTCCAAGAGATGTCACCGGTGCTGGCCCCCATAAGTCAGTGTGCACTAGCTCCAGTTTTTCTGTCTTTGGAGCTCTTCCGGTGGTTATGAAGCTCACTCGCTTCTGCTTTCCAAGCACGCATTGCTCGCAGAGACCCACGTCCACTGACTCCAACTCGGGCAAAAGTCCTCTCGACTTTAGTACCTTCATTCCTTTTTCGCTCATGTGGCCCAAGCGACTGTGCCATAAGTGCGATTGTGAGACAACTCCTGCCAGGAGAATGTTTGAGCTGGATCTACTCGCCGTGTAAAGCGTTCCCGACTTCAGCCCTCTTGCCAAAGTCATAGCTCCTCGGCTGACCTTCCACTTTCCGTCTCCAAACATTGTGTGGAAGCCGTCATTGTCCAGCTGTCCAACTGAGATGAGATTCCTCTTCAGTCCTGGAATGTGTCTCACATCACGTAGGGTCCAGCATGACCCATTTGCGGACTTGATCTGCACATCTCCCTTCCCTACAATTTTTAGGTATTTGTTGTCCGCAAGATATACCAAGCCAAAATCACCTGCGGTGTATGGCTCCATGATGTCTCTGCTACCGCATGAGTGAAATGAGGCCCCCGAGTCCACGATCCAGTCATCGAGCGAGCTTCTCACACTCAACAAGAGTGCATCCGCCGTGTCCTCCGTCGCGGCATTGGCTGTCCGACCTTCTTTGTCTTTCCTTGGTGCCCGGCATTCGCTTTTCATATGCCCGAGGCTTCTCGCAGTTCCAACACACCATCTCTTTCTTGCCTTTATTCCTTCCCCTGGATTTTGACCTCCCACGGATTTTCCCTCGTGTTTCGGGTCTCCCTCTCGGACTCTGTATGTAGGGCTGAGCCAGACGACCCACCCGCCTGATTTCGCGGTCTCCTCGTTCAACATCATATCTCTTATGTTGTCGAACTTCATCTTCTCCTTGCCGGAAGAAGTGCTCACCGAAGTAACGACCACGTCCCAACTGTCCAAGCAATGATGAGAGTAAGATTAGGGCTTTTACCTCATCATCAAACGAAATATCCACCGATGCCAACTGCGTCGTGAGTTGGTTGAAATCGTTGAGATGATCGGCCACCGACTTTCGCTCCTCCATTTGCAATTTGAACAGCTTTTTCATCGGCATCACCTTGTTTATTGCCGATGGTTTTTCATACATGTCGGCGAGTATCTCGCAAGACCTCCTTCGTGCTTTTTGCTCCCTTCACATGGTAGGCGACGTTCCGAGAGAGCGAAAGAATTATAGCGCTCATCGCCTTCCGATCGAGCACCTTCCATTCATCATCGCTCATCTTCTCGGGTTTTCCCCAAGAGGTGCGTAGAGGTCCTTCCGTACAGGTAAGCCTCCATTTGCATTCGCCAGAATCCAAAGTCGGAACCATTGAACCGTTCGACTTGAATCTTTCCCTCCATCTTATCTCCAACCTCCTGGTTCCGATACCAGTTGTTGGGAAATAAGGTCGGATAAGATGGAATAATAATAATACACCAATGTGAGATCAATAAAAGACACGAATATTTGTTAACCCGAGTTCGGATTAAATCCTACGTCCTGGGGCGAACCAAGCCAGGAGAATGAACTAGAATAAGAGGATAAACCGAATGTTACAACTCACACAAGCCCGTATGAATACACTCTCTCTACTCTTTCTTCACACTTGGATTGGATACAAATGAGGTTACAAAATGAGGTATTTATAGCCAAACAAATCCTTCTTGAGAGGAAGTTGAGAGGAAGCTCCCTTCCTTTGACCAGGAAGTTGCAAGGAAGCTCCCTTCCTTTGACCAGGAAGTTGCAAGGAAGTAGCCTTCCTTTGACTAGAAGTTCAGAAGTAGCCTTCTGACCAGGAACTTACGAAGAAGTTCCTATCTTTGACCGATCTTTACACCTCAACGAGTAATTAAACATATTTTTAATTATAACGTGTGAACGGAAGAGAGATAGAAAAAATATATAAATAAAAGAAGCCATGAAAATAAAAAATAATATAAAGAAATGAATTATTCTGAATGCTTAAATATGAACACCATTATTTTATTAAAAACCGGAACACAGCCATGATGTAATCTGCAATTTGTTTTTGTCAACTTTTCCAAAGTATTGGAATGTTGACTTTCTTATAAAAAAGTGCAATATCTCTGGTTCCACGTATTTTTTTACAGAAAAATAAGTGATATTAATAGAAAAATAAATAGATTTTACTCAATAAAATCTAAGTGATTTTAAAATATCAACTAACAAAAAAAATTGATTTAACCTATTTTATATTTTTAAATGAATAATATTTTTTTAATTTAATATTATGTTAGGTTAATTTAATAAAATTATTTTTTATTTTAAATATAATAATTTAATATATTAATTACAAGAAAAAATATTTATTCAGTCTTAAAATAATAGTTAAAATTTTATTCTTTAATCTTAAATGATAGAGACTTATTCTTATAATTATTCTTAAAATAAATAAATTATTTATTTAATTAATTTATAATATATATATATATACATATTTTTTAATAAAAAAAATTATTTTTATTTTTATTTTAAAAAAATTATTTTATAATAAATTTACATATCAATCTAACTTAAATTTATATGGAAACAAAATATGTTATATTTAATTTAAGTTATAATTTATTTTTTTTAACTGAACTATTTTTTATTCAAAAATAAAATATTTTAAAAATATATTCCTAAAAAATTAGGTTGAGAATTATATATATATATAAATAATGCAAGTTGTGAATGCCATAAGAATACACGGGATTGAATTTTGTTGGAAATATTAATAGAAATTAAATTAAATTAAACTAAACTAAACTAATCAAAGAAAGTTTCTATTTTTAGACTTAGTCTTTTCATCTGCATTTCTTTCCCCTCAATTCCTATATTCAAGCAATCATATTCGGTTTTCTTCAACTAGACCAATGAAAAGCAAAGTAGCTTAGACATTTCATTTCATTTCATTTCATGAATACTATTTTTGTGTATGAACTTTCTGTATCACAATACTTCCTAAACTTCCTGTATCACAACAGTTCATAGAACATTTGCCAAGAAAAACATGATCAAAGAAAAAGAGGGCATAAGAGCATAGAACATAGTGATATAGAGGTAGAAGAAATCAGATAGATCGAATTCCGAAGTTATGGGAAGAAAAGTCCCTAATGAAAATAACACCACATTGATAGATCCATTTCTTTATGTTGCATTTTGCATGGTAGGATTGGCCACAAGCATTACTATAATCACAGCTTTGTGCATTGTGCGATTTCGAAGAAAATCATCTCCACCTTCCGCAATGTCTAACCATGACTCACATGAAGTTTTGAATGTTTTGAATGAATCTACTATTCCACCAACAACCACCTTAAACCATGAACATCCTAGTACCTCAGAGGGATCAATAATGCAGAACACAAGACAAACACAAAACAGTGACACATTGGTAAAGGAGTTACCTCTTCCCCCAGCATTGCAGCAACACCCTAACGTGGAGCCCAGATTTGTGAAAAGCGCAAGATCTGAACGTAGGTTGTCTTTTAATTTGAGCAAGAAGAATCCAAGGAGTTTATCAGTGACAAGAAATTGGGATCAAAAGGGGGGCAAAGGTGGTGGAGGGCTGAAAGGGTCATGGAAAACTGATGAATCTGTGTGGATGAAGACAAAAGAGAAGTTGAAAGCAGATGAGTCTGTGTGGATGAAGACAAAAGGGAAGTTGAAAAGAGATGATTCTGTGTGGATGAAAACAATTATACTTGGGGGAAAGTGTGTTCCTGATGAAGAAGGTGATGTTGTCATCTACGAGGACAAAGGGAAGAAAATCTCAGCATACCATCCTAGAAAGCCTTCCTCTATCTCACTTTCTAGACAAGGTTCTTACATTAGTGCTGAAAATCATGATGCCCTCTCTGTACACCGATCCCCTGAAGAAAGAATCATTAACACATGTGAGGAGAAACAAATAAAATTATGAATCTCTTTCAACTTCATCATCTTATCATGTCTTTCATGTTGTGTTTGTATTGTTAGTGGAAACTTTTCTTCATCCCAGTCTTCTGTTTTGTGAATGCCACATTTGACCTTCATTAATTCAAATCATGTTAGGTAAGTGCATGGTTAGAATAATTATGCAACACAAATCACAACACTCTCCATGGTCATTCAATAGTGTGATGTGAGGATATTGGTGGTGGTAATTTGTGCGATGTGTTATTCATAACTGGGTAATAAAAATAAATAAATATATATATATATATATATATATATATATATATATATATAAGATACATTTTTTTATTTTAAGGAAGGATAATTATTTTATTAATCCATTAAAATTAATTAAAAATTCAATCTAATCTAATCTATTTAATGAAAAATTGAGTTAATTCATTTATAGACTATAAATATAAAACTAAGTCAATATGACTTAATCAAGGACAACGTAAATAACATTATGACGTGATGAATAATAAAATGTCTACCACTTTGAAAAAATCTCAGCTTATTATACTATGTTGGAATAAATTATAATTTAGTAAATTAAAATGACTGAGAATCTATTTTGTTTAGAAATAAGAATGTTTTGATTCTATGTCTATTATAATAATATTGTTAGAATCAATTATCAGAAATATTATTATTTTTTTAAACTCTAATCTATTACAATTTTGTTCTTAAAAATGTCTCGATGGATTAAGAGATGAGAGAGGAGAGTATATATAAACGATCCTTAATTTCAACTCTTAAATTATTTTATGTATCTTTATAAGTCTTACATTACTTAAGAGTCGATACCAAAGATAATTTATATATATTATTATCTCTCAATCCATCGAGATATCAAAACTAAAAGTAATTTATACACATACTTAATTGTAAAGTCTAAAATGTAAAATATTTTTTTATCAAATTTTTACTAACTCAAATTTGCTTACTAATTTGATTATCTAGAATTTTGAAAGTTATGAATATCACTTTTGCACTATAAGTAACTACTCGAATTAATTAATTTTCCATTATTATCTATTTTAACAACACATTCGAAGATAAATTTTCTAACTATAACAATTTCTCATGATATTAAGATTATAAATTGTACCATAGACTAATTTTTTGCATATTTGTAAAAAGTATATTTATTTTTCTATAACAAATTTTGTTTTTCTTGTTTTATATTATTTTTACTTATGACAAATTCTTTCCTTCATATTCTATGGGTTATATATATATATATATATATATATATATATATATATATATATATATATATATATATATATATATACTTGTACTCCATTTTAAGGTGAGAAATTCTTAATAAAAACATATGAATTTTATCATTAAAAAAAAGAAAAAAAATTACTATTCATATATACGATGAAATTCATCTATTTTTATTAAGAATTTCTCACCCCGAGAAGGAGTATAAGTAGGGTGTATATATATAATCTCGTAAGACAAAAAGGAAAGAATATGTCCTAACTAAATAATACAAAAGGAAAAAATAGAATTTATTATAAAAAAATAATTATGTTAATATATAATTTGTTATTTATGGGCCTTATATGAGCTTTATCCATTTTATTTTAGTGTCATTGTTATTGTATAAATGAACTTAAGAAAATCAAATGACATTAGTTATCTTCTTGCAATTTTCGATTTTTATGATTTTGGGATTTATCTTTCTAGTTTTCTCTAGTTTCTTTCTAGTTTATAGTTTAGACTTTTCAAGTTGTTTACATTTAAGTGTTGTTGGAATTATTAAATTCAAGATACTTTAAATTATATTTGTCTTCTTTCTATTAGTGTTTTACTTTCAATTCTTGCAATTTAAATTCTAATTTGTTTTCTTTTGTATTTTAATGAAATTTGAGTTTTTAGGTTAGTTTTCTAATATAAAATTTATTTTCATTGATTGAAATTTGATTATTTAAGATTTTAATAGTTCATATTTCATTAAAATCAATCTAATTGAGATTATTTTATTGAATTTGATAAATTACATCATGAATCAATTTCTAAGTTTATTCATTTACTTTTCTTAAATGTTGATTTGTGTCTATAAATCAATTAAATGTGATGAATCAATTAAATCTAGTTATTGAATTATGAATTATTAGAATTCTTATAAATTTATCTTATGGTTATACTTAAGTTTAGAAATCAATCATAATCAGTTAAACAAAAGGATGATTAGATAATTAACTACTCTTTTTACTTTTTCGTGTTTTTCTCCACCATTTTTAATTAGATTTATATTTTTATTACTTTTAATTAAAAATTAGACACAAAATTCTTAAAATATCTCGTTTCTAACTTTTTTATAATTGAAAATTAAATCTATTATAATTCATCAATGCTCTTCGAGAATATGGACTAAATTTTTCTTAATTATTACATGTTTCTTAACGCTCTCGAGCAACAACATGATCATAACAATTAAGTCATACAAACTAGAAATACAAGGTAAGTTAAATATTCAAATAATAACTTACATAACCATTTATATAACATAAAACACATTTAGATTACATAGATTATGTTACACACATCACTTTTACCACATCATATCTATTATGACTGGACATCTTTTAGAAGACTAACATTATGTCCCAAACTTATAAATTAACATTTTTGCATTGTGTTAAAACTGATATTGTACCATATATCCACAAAGTAGAACTATTGGGAACTCTAATTGTCTTGACCTACCTCTCTCAAGCTCTTAAGACAAGTGTCTGTCAATTCTCCCATCAACTCCTCATCATTTGATACCTTTCTGAACATGACTGAGCTACCTAGTTGCCACACTAACACACCATAGTATCTCCCTAGTACTTATTGTCATTTTTGAACCACATGTGCAACGACGGATCTTGATCATTAATCTTGAGGGGGTCAAATAATATATTATTAAAAAAATAATAAATTATATAAAAAGGTAAAAGAGTATGAAAGGGTCAAAGGTCAAATTTGTAAATATACAAACAGATATATTTAATAATTATTAAATTTTAGAAGCCAAAATGCTAATAATAAAACTTTGGGGCATGGCCCCCTCACCTCCCAAGAAGCTTTGCGCACATGAGCATGAGTGACTTGCATCACATGAACATACACATCTTAGTTTATTATAAGTAATACCTTTAGCTTGACTTTGTGCTTACAACACACATTTATTCTAGTCAAATATAGGTAATAATCTCTAGTTAGACTCAACTCCATAACACACATTCATTGAGTCCGAAATCCACCATATTTTCACAATGCATTTTAGTTAAAGAACAAAGATATTTTGTTGGAGCGACCACTTATTTCTTATTTCTTGAAAGAAATACTTATAATAATTAACTCAATTGATTATGTCTCTTTCTCACTTGAATTATTTCACATGACTTAAGCAACAATGTCACTTTACTTAAGTGACAGACAAAATCCGTTGGTAAATACAGTCGATAAGTAGGACACATTTTTATTTATTTATTCGAACCTAGTACCTTCGAGTTGGAGGTCGATACTCCAACCACTAGGCTACTAAGTTTTTCTATAATAATTTATAAATAAATTATATTTATATACAAATAAATGTATATTCTGTATAAATATATAAATATAAAATATATAAATACAAATATATTTATATATTTTGATATATTTATATATGTATATATTTTGGTATATTTATATGTTGGATGTGAGAGTGCGTTCGACGATAAAAGTGTGTATCGTGTTTATTAGAATATATTTAAAATTAAGTAATTATTATATAATTTTAAATATTTAATTTTTTAATTTAATATTGATTTTTAAAAATATATTTTAAATTCATCAATGAATTCGTCGGTAAATGAACAAATAATTATCGACAGATATATCCGTCTGTAACTAATTGTCTATTTACCAAACTTATTAATTTACTTGACGGATATATCCGTCGGTAATTACTTATTCATTTATTGATGGATTTATTGACGGATATATCCGTCGGTAATTATTTGTTTATTTACCAGCGAATATATCCGTCGGTAATTATTTGTTTATTTACCGACGGATTTATCGACAAATATATATATGTTGGTAATTAATTGTTTATTTACCAACGGATATATCTGTCGATAATCACTTATTTTCTGACGGATATATATCCGTCGGTAATATAAGATTTTCTTGTAGTGGTTTGTTCTATGCTTAAATGACTACCAAATAAAATCAATTGTCTTTCCCATGTTTATATTTTGCTTGAATGACCACCTATCACTTCAATGAAATATAGGCCGAAACAATTATATATCCTCTACAAGTAAGAGTAATCACCTATCACTTGAGTGAAAGATTCGACCTACCAAATCTATCTTTTCTATTAACTTTTTTACTTAAGTAAATTATCATCAAATAACTCTTTGTTTGAGTCATCACCGCTCAAGTATTTGTCACCTCACTTGAGTAATGATAGTCAAAATAAATACTACTAAAAACTCTCATATTTCATGGAAATATTTTTAGAATTTTTTTATTAAAATGACAAAAAATAAATTTTCTACTAATTTAAATAAATTTTAAAAAAATCATAAAAATAACTAATGTTTCTCAACCTCGCCACCCAACAACACAACTCATGACACAAATAACATCATAACACATTACATAAGTAAAATCAACCCAAGCACACATTTATAATCAACCGTTCAACGCACATATATTTCTAACTTAAACATGTTAATGTTTGAATAATTAATTACCTTGAATATCCTTATATCTAACTTTTTGCAACTCACACTTACTACCTTCACTTTAATAATACCTAAATAACATCATTATATAACCTAACTCGAATAATATGAATTATTAATTAATTTTCCATTCCAATTTCTGATTTAGCGTGTTAACTTCTAACTAATTCAACTTCTATCATTCTACGACATGAATTCTAACAAAGTTTCCACACTAAATAAAATAAACTCATAAAATTTTCTTTTATAATGAGATATAAAATTTTGGAAAATAAAACCGTCTAACAATATCTAAAAAACTAAACCTATTTTATTTGAAAACTAAAATTCATACGGTTACCCAAAAGATAAAAAGATATTATACTTTCATCTACCTATAATTCTCATTCGTTTTAAAAGAAAAAAAAAAAATCTAAACTCACACACATGCATTCTAATAGAAAAATGGAGGCAAGAATATAATTTTAAATTCAATCATTCAAATAATGAAAGAATTCCACTTTTATTTTTTCTTATTTCTTTTTAATCCAAACATTTTTTATTTACCTCTTATATTTAGTACTTCTTTCGATTTGCTTTTCTTACCCTTTCTCGTGATTAAATAAAAACATAAAATATAAACTTCTATGCAAGATAGAAGGATCCGATGCTGAAAGTATTGTAATAATTCATCATTCAAATTTTTTTTTTTCATTTTCTCATGTCTCTTTCTCTGAACCCTTCAAATAAAATCAAATGGCCCATCGACACTTTAAACGATAAAGCATTTCTCCTTTGGAAGAAAATGGTCCCCTCTATGTCTTTTCTTTTTCTCTCTTTCTGAAGAAACTTTAAAGCCAAAATCTTATTGGATTTGAGAGAAAAAGAGAGAAAGAGAAAGCGCCAGATTAATCTAAAATGTTTTCTCAATTTAAAGAATTCAATTACAATATATTAATAGAGTAAAACATTTTCAGAACATCATATAATTATAAATTGTTATGTAAGATCAAATTTTAAATTTTTATGATGCTTTTTAAACGTTGTATTGAGTTGAGATGATAAGTCATATTAAAAAATTGATTAATAATATTATTTTTATTTTAAATGTTTTTTAAATGTCATTTCCTTTGAAATTTAGTAGTTAAGATAATCACTTCTTAATCATTATCTATAAATAAGGGATTTGTAAAAAAATGGAGGGTAAGGACTGAATTTAATTTAAATTTATGAGTATAAGTACTTGAATAAAATAAAGTTTTACATTTTAGAATATAAAGTAATTTATTTCAAAATAAGAAAAATAAAGTTAGAATAAAAGTGTTAAAAGAACAAAAATGTGATGAATATGTTAAAGATTGGTAATGTACCTATAAATTAGATTCCAATTCTAATTAATTAATTATATATAAATTTTCATTATATTATATTCTATTAAAGTTGTTAATTAACATATAGTATTTATTTAAGGGATTTGTTAATATTTTCTGGAAGTAATTAACAAGCTATAACTACTATTGTCTTAAGTATACTAAAATGTATTATTGTTTAACATATTTAAGTGTTAAGCAAATACATGTAAGATTTTGCTTTAGGAGTACAAAATAAACTATAATTATATATTTTATTAAAAAAATCCACTTAAGTGTACTAACAATTAGTTTAAAAAATAAGTTAATCCATTATTTTCTTAGTTGTCATAGACTTTTTATGCAGAAATATTAGAGAGTGTAATAAATAATTTTATACTATATTAAAATGTTTGTAAATAAATTATTTCAATTTTTCATCTAATTAAAAAAATCTAATGATTGATTTGATTAAATAATTTTAAAAATATATTTTAAAATAAATATTTGATTTTTTTAATAATTATACTATAACAATAATATTTATAATATCTCAAATTTATCATATAATATTTTTTTTAAATATAATATATTAAATTGTAATATTTTTAAATATATTTATTTTTATAAATAAGAAAAGACCTATTTTATCAAATTTCAATCTACAAACTTTAATAAGGGGATAAGAGAATAATAAAAGAGAGAAAAAGGGAGAAAAAAACATTAATTGAGGACAAAGAAAAAATAATAAAATATAAGTAAAGAAAAGAAATAAAAAGAAGAAAAATAACTGTGTTATGTGAGATAAATTTTTTTTTATTATTAAATTTTTGTATAACAAGTAAAGTTGATAAATATTTTTACAACAAAATTATTTAAGAATTTTTTTAATATATTATTTATGAAATTGATTGTCCAATTTGTTATTATATTTTTATAAAACCAAATTTTTATTTATAATTTAAGATAATATATTTTAAATAAAAAGGAAAGATGTAAGAGAACATATAATTGACAATTATGTAAGGAGAGAAAGAAACCATGTGTAATTCAAGATGTTTTAAGAAAAAAATACTTTTTTTTATTAATTATGTTGAAGAAAATATGAACAAACATTTAATTATAAAAAAGAGAAAATAAAAGTTTAAGATAAATAAAATATTAAACAATGATTTCGTTAAAAGATATTTCTCCTTGTATATTATTATAAATTATGAATAATAATCCTTAAAACATGGCTCCATTTTAAAAACCTTAAAAAATACAATATATTTTAAATAAATATAGTGAGAGCATTTTAATGAGAGTAGTTATTATGATGTTTAAGAATAATTTTAATAAGAGTTGTTTTTTGAAATTCTTAAATAAAGTATTAAGAAATCTCCAATCTTTAATAAGAGTTATTTGAAAATAAATATAAATATTTTATTATAGAATATAAGATCTATAATAAAATATTTATTTTTATTCCTGTTAATATTTTTATTAGAGATGTTATTTGAAATAACTTTCCATTTAGTAGTATGATAAGTACTTATTTTTTTTATAATTATTTGATTAAGAACCAAATAAAATATAAATAAATCAAAGTAAATGAAGAAAGAGAATGAATTTTTTAAAATCTATTAAGAAAAATTTTAATAAAGTAAAATTAATATTAAGTTGTTTGGAAAAGGATGTGATATTATAAATCCTCTTTTAAATAAATTTAACAAGAGTTATTTATTGTTATATTTAAAGCAATTTTTTTATAGAGGAATTTTATCTGACCTTATATGTTACTTTAATTTTTTTTAATGAATGCTTCACTAAACAACTTTATAAAAATAAATAAATTAAAATAGAGAAAATATAAAAGAGAATGAGTTTTTTAAATTTTATTAAAAAAAAATTCTAAAAATATCAATAGAAATTTCTTAATAAATTCTTATTAGAATAAAATTAATTTTTATTTATTAAAATAAAATTAATAATAAAATTCTTAAATATGATATAATATTATAAATTCTTGTTTTACAATTTTTTAAATAAAAAATAATTAATATGAGTAGAATATCTTAATATATTAAAATAATATTTAAAATTTTATAAAGATGCAAAACACTATTTAAATAAAATAATATAATAACTGTGTGGACGTAAAGTACTATTATTAAATTAAGAAATAGAAATGATTCTTGAACTATGAGATTTACATTGTTTGAATTAAAACCCCCAAATAATATCTTATCTTTAATTGCGTTCGTTATGACTCTAAATATTGAATTGGAGTTAAAGCCGAGGAACTGATACGACCGCGAACTTTGAGGCGCAGTTAAAAAAGCCTAACTCTCAATTTTTTATTATTTTTTTTCTTCTCCGTTCCAACACCTTTTCACTTTCTCTTTCATTCCCCAGGGGAAGCGGGTCCCGTACAACTCAGAAACCGAAAACGTCGTCGTCGCAATGGAGCGGGAGATACAGCAAGACATGTCTGCTGTCCGTTACACGTTTTGAATTTCAAATCTCGGAAAACGGCCGCACGACACAAACCCACGACCAATCAAAAACATTAAAACCACATTCTTCTCTCTCCAACATAATTCTCTTCATTACTACCCTTCTCAGTTTCACTCGCAACTCATAACTCAACCCCAAAAGCAATCTCTCTTCATTAAATTCCATTTCCCCCTCCCTTAAAACTAGCCAAAGTTCGCGTCTTTTGCAGCGAGCAGTTTCACCAGCCAAATGGGTGCATCTGGAAAATGGGTGAAGGCGTTGATCGGACTTAACAGCAAGAACGAACTTGTAAGTCGTTTGTTGTTTGTAGCCACCAGGCAACCATTTTTATTGTTACTGTTTTTGTTTTGGTGGCAATTGAGTGAGTTAGAAACTGTTGGGTGCTGCTTTCAGGGTGGGAAGAAGAAGAAGTGGAGGCTGTGGAAGAGTTCTTCTGCAGGGGAGAACAGATCTCCAGACTTCGACTATGGCAGTGTAGCTTCCGATTCTTTCACCGCTGCAGTTGCCACCGTTGTCAGAGCTCCACCTAAGGATTTCAAACTCCTCAAGCAAGAATGGGCCGCTACCCGAATCCAAACTGCTTTCCGTGCCTTCTTGGTATGTTTACTCATCTAACTCAACTCCAAAAGCTAAACTCATCACGCTGGAGACAATGTCACTTACTTTATACACATTGTTTTCACTATGTTACTAATCAATGTGGATCTCTCTAATCTCGAGCCATCACTTGATTTCGTGTCTTTTTTCTCATTCAATCAACTCAATGTACACTGAATAATTACAAATTGCGACTTCTGTAATGATGGTTATGACTTGCAGGGTGAATTATCATATGATCGCAGGAAGCGATGAAAGAATTATATTTGTTCTAATTTTATATTTCTTTTATTTGTATGGATTTTTTGTTCACTCTAAAGGTGGTCCAGGTCCAACTGGGTTTCCTAACAGACTAGTTGACGCAAAGTCAGTGATACTTATTATAGACATTGAGAACAGAATTTTAAAGTTTAAATTTTTGTTTGTTTTATACTAATATTGCGGCTGTAACAGGTGGTGTTGTGTTCTGCAATTCAGAACACTTAAATGTTCTTGAAATTTGCTTGTAGTGTTGGATTTATATAATTGGGTTGTTCATTGTAGGCAAGAAGAGCATTGAGGGCGTTGAAGGGAGTGGTCAGGCTTCAAGCACTTGTAAGGGGTAGACTTGTGAGGAAGCAGGCTGCAGTCACATTGAGGTGCATGCAGGCCTTGGTTCGTGTCCAGGCACGTGTGAGGGCACGGCGCGTGCGAATGTCCATTGAGGGGCAAGCAGTGCAGAACATGCTCAATGAACGCCGCACCAAGGCTGAACTCTTCAAGGAAGCTGAGGTACCATATCCACAGATTCCTCACACAAAACTTACATACACTTTCTAAGTTGTTGTTAGTGTTTTTCACTGATCAGAATTTGAGATTCCATCTCATAATATAAACTTTAATTACATGAATCATCGCCAAGGTAAAACACCAATTATAATTGCAGAAGATTACCAAAAGCATGTAAGGAATTACCTTTCAATGGGGCTCTATATACGTCTTTGGTACTGTTTCAATCAGAATTTAAGTTTTTTATAACCTATGCTGACTTAAAAGTAATTTTAATTAGAGACAACACTAAAAACACTTTAAGCTATGCTTTGTTTTGAGATGGGGTCAATCAAAAATTACTTTTCTGCAAACTTTAATCTACACATGCTCTTGAGAAATTGCATCTAAGTTTTGTAAAATTCCTAAACCATCATCCATACCACACAAAATTGTTTTAGATACCTCACGTCTGTCTACAGAATATTTTGTGAGAAACATGTTTTGTGAACATGTGTGCAGGAAGGGTGGTGTGATAGCAGAGGATCATTGGAGGATGTCAAGACAAAACTACAGATGAGGCAAGAGGGAGCTTTCAAGAGGGAGAGAGCAATTGCATACTCTCTTTCCCACAAGGTAGGTACCAACAGATTGAGAAAATGTGCAACTATCATTGTTCCTGCTTATTAAGAAACATGTTTAACAGTTGGCTTTTGCAGCAATGGAGATCAACCCCCATTTCAAATTCAAGAGCTAATACCTCTCTCAACAAGCAAGAGATGGACAAGGCTAACTGGGGATGGAGTTGGTTGGAACGTTGGATGGCTGCAAAGCCGTGGGAGAGTAGACTAATGGAACAAGCTCATCATCGTGCTGATGCCACCGAGAAGACCCCTCCTCCTCCAAAGAAATGTGTGAACTCCTCAAATTCAAAAAATAATTCTGATTCATGCAATGTCAAAGTCAGAAAGAACAATGTCACCACAAGGGTCTCAGCTAGACCTCCCCATATTGGCCAAACCACTCGCTCATCCTCAAGTCCTAGTTCTGAGTTTCACTATGATGAGAGCTCTAATTCATCTTCAATATGCACATCCATGACTCCGATATCTGGTAGTGCTTCATTGCCTTGTGACAGGATAGAGGATAGTAACAACAGTTCTACTAGGCCTAGTTACATGAACCTAACCGAATCAACCAAGGCAAAGCAGAAAACCAGCAATCATCAATACAATAGATCTCAGAGGCAACAGTCCATGGATGAGTTCCAGTTTCTCAAAAGGACAGCGGTTTTCTCAAATGGAGATTCCAAAAGCACTGATGCTTCTGACCCTTCAACCAACTTTTCTAGGCCACTTTACTTACCCACCTACATGGATAAGAAGTCACGGTGAAATTGACTTGATTCCATTGATTGCTCATATGTATTTATTTCCATGAAGTTCAACACTTCAACATCTTGTTGTTCAATGGTCTATGAATTTAATTACAACTGTAGCTGGAACTTTTGTGCTTTCCCTAGAGAAGATCTCCATTTGTGTAATCAATTGTTAATTTTTGTGGGTATCATCATGATATATGGAGTGCAAGGCCTAACCAAAAGAATAAAATTGAAGAAAGAGTGAGACTTTTTTTTACAACTAGTTTGGTTTTAACAACTCCCGTGTTTTCATTCAGAATTGGGTTACAAAAATGGTTGCCTATAGATTAGATTAAGATGTAAACTAAATACAATTAGATGAGTGAAGTCATCCTAAAGAGAAAATGAATATTATTATGGACGTAAGTTCTTATAGAGAGACCCAATAATTAATAAGGGAATCTGCTTTTGTAGACACATTTGCATAAAAAGCTTAGTATCCTATAACATTGTTTACATAGATCTCACTAACCAATATGTTGCCTAGTTTCCAAAGTACAATCTAGTTGATACCATACCCACTTTATTGTGTCCTTCTCATGACTCTAAGCTTGACACCATGCTTGAAGTTGAGAACCATTCCATATTCCAGTTCTACAGGCTTTTCCATGTCAAGTGAGTGGCGAAACACATATTTTCGGTATAAATGAATCAGAGTAAGCTTGACCTCTTGGAGGGAAAACCTTTTACCAATACATGCTCGAGGACCAATTCCAAATGGTATAAATGCATAAGGATGCCTTCGTTTCATTTCTTCACAGTTGGGGTCAAACCTCTCTGGTTTAAACTTTTCTGGATCTGGAAAATTCATTGGATCTTTTGCTAGAACTCCAAGAGCCAACCATACCCATGTCCCCTACCAATTTACAAAACTACATTAGTGATGGCATTAACTTTAAAACCCTCCATCAAGTTTATAAAATGTCTCTCAAGAGAAAGTGGAAAGTGGAAAGTTTTGCAAAATATACTATAAGAAAATGAGACTAATGTATGAATAATGTTGGCATAAATAAAAAAAAATTATATTCATGACAAAGATGTATCACTACCTTTGGAAGAAGATAACCTCCGATCTCTACCTCATTCAAGGTCTCTCTTGCAACCAGTGGAGAAACCGTGTAAAATCTCATGGCCTCTTTAATCACCTACATCAATTAAATTGAGAATTTGACATCATGATTGCTTAGTTCTTGTAAACTTAAAATAAGAATCTTAAATTTCACTTAATATCACTATCGGCTGACCTGATCGAGATAAGGAAAACTATCATGCAAATGTTGAGCAGTGAGAATCTTATCACTTGGACCAAATCTATCAATCTCTTGAAGTAACTTTTTCTCAACTTCTAGATGGCCAGCCACCAAGTAGACAATGGATGACAAGGTAAAGGCTGTGGTAGCTGACCCAGCAAGTAAGTGCTCATAAGTAACTGCACTAATGTAGTCAGGTGAAAATACATTTTCAGGCACAATCTGTGATTCTCTTGCATTCAAAATGAGTGATAAGAAGTTTTTTGATGTTCGGTTCTTGTCCTCCATTCTCCTCTTAACAATCTCATCAAGACGACCACTCAATTTCTCATTAATACTCTCTATTTTCCTATCCATTGTACCCGGTATTTTCTTTAGAATCTGTCTAAATGGCTCCTGAAGTATTGGAGCAAGTAGACCAAGTATAATGGAGAAGGAACCAGACAAATCCATCTTAAGTTGTGTTGTGGAGTAAATGTGTTGATTAATGAAATCAGATACTTCATCACTATTATTATTATCATCATTTTTCACATGGCTAACATTCTTCATTGATTCACAAACTGAATGGGGCTTTGAGAGGCCAAAGTTGACACCAAATGCTGCCTCTCCAATCACATCAGTTGCTAGTCTCAGGGAAAGATTAGAAAAGATCATGTCCTCATTTGAGGTGTCAAGATTTTGTGTTGCAGATTCTATGAGTGATTGCATCATGGGCACTAAACCAGCCAAGTGTGATGGTTGATACATTGATAATATGGTGTTTCTCATGGTTGACCATCTTGAACCCCTATGCATCATCATTACATGGTTATCTTCTTTATATACTTGGATTTTATATATATTTTGTAATGTATATATATATTCTATCTAAGGTCACATTATTATGATGGGATAATATATTTGAAAACCTTATTGAATATATAATAATTTTTTCAAAAAACTAGTTATTATTCTTTTATGGTAATATTGCAAAAAAGAAAAGAAAAATTTGCATACCTGGTGAAGAAGAGGCCTTTTTGATGAAGAGGAGAGGCAGAAATAGGAGAGGGAATGCTTCTGTTTGGAATGTCTTTGAATTTTTTTATTCCCACCTCTTTGCAAAGCTCTGGATCTGCTACCAAGATTAGTGGTTGTCTTCCCATGTGAAATCTTCTCCATTAAACAAGCAGGAACAACATCATCAACATTGAAGTTAAAATTAACAAAGTTGGTGAAAAGAAAGCAATTATTTATATGTTATTAAGCATTATGATGCTGATTCCATGATAAAAATAATAATAATTTTAATTAGAAATATATTATGTAACTTTTATGTATAAATATTATTTTAATTTTTACTTTGTATTTTAGCACACATGTACATTTACTAAATAAAACCAATAGATTTCAAAATATTTTAAAATTTGATAAAAGGGACAACGATTAATTATCAACTAATTAAATTCACTTAATTAAACATTTTTTTACTTATCTGTATTCATTCATGATCATGGATCTAGCAAAGTATGCAAAATGAGAAAAAGTGAATGTTATTTATTTATACAAACAAAAGTAAACATGCATCCATCACTAATATAAATTTATACATTACATCAATTTAAATCAACAACATATTCACGTTCAATCATAATAAATTTGAATACTTTGCAGATAAAATGATATAATAGTTAGAAAAGGTCCAACTAAAAGTATTAACTAAACTTTTTGATAAAAATTAATCATTAACAAAATTGATAGATATTTCATATTAATGATTATTTAAAAAATGATCATGTCATAAAAAATCTTTGTCATAAGGTATTATAAGGGGCTTAAAATTGATGGCAATCTTAATATTTTGATGAAGAGCAATTTAATCATATTATATGGTATGGACAAGTGCTGGCCCTTACCACATTGACAAAAAAGGAACAAATAGAATGCAACATAATTGTAACCTCTTTTTTCTTTTCCAAATTATATCATCATATCAACTTCTTTCTAGGCAATGTGCACTAAACCACTGTCCCACCACCACCATAACAAATACCTTCACAAGTCAACGATATATAACCCCATCATTGCAATTTGCATCACCAAATATCATCCATGCCAACAATAACAGCTTTATTCAGAGAAGGAGAAGAAAATGTGAATGAGCTTAAGAAATCAAATTGACCAAGAATCACTATAAGATGGTTCAATTCAATTTCTATGATTATTGTTATTGTGTAAATGAGTAGAAAGTGATGAAGACCTGTAAATTGGGCCATATTGCTTGGCAAGGAGTGAGAACACATCAGGGCCATATTTGGCCAGCAAGTGAAGGTGACCTACAAGAGGCAGAGATGGTGGGCCTGGAACTTTCCTTAGCCCCCAATAGGGCCCATAGAAATAACCCAATAAGCCTCCAACTAAAACCAGCAGGGTGATCATGGCTACACATGGAAAAGGAAATAACCATTCCAATTGCATGACCATCATTTTTATTGGCATGTGCTGTGTATATACCAAATGAGAGGGATAGAGAGTGAGGTTTTGGTTCTTCAAATTGGAGGAGTGGTGAGGTTGGAGTCTCACTTCATGCTTGGGCTTTATATTATGGTGGTGGTGGGAATAGAGGAGAAAGGATCATGATCAAGAGTGGGATGATATTTGTCCATTAGTGAATCATGATATAGCCAATTAGATACATTCTACTCCATAATTTTTCTTTTATATATATATAATATATATTCATCTCAATAGATTTAATGATTCAAGTAATATTCATAAATTAATTATCCAAAAGAATGTTAAAGTTATCATAATAAATCTCTGTTTATACTATACTAGTAGTAAAAAAATATTCAGGGAATATTCTGTGAGGATGCGTGCAATAGAAAACACAAGAAAATTCCCATATATAATCATACACTAATATTTAATATTATTTTATTAATGTTAATCACCCTTTAAATCATGTGGATAAGATTTGTCTTTCTCATGTTATCATAATCTAATTGAACATTTTTTTTTAAATGTGATAATTTGATAGTCGAACAGTCACTGTCTACGTATGTTTTATTTTAAAAGGGATATATAATGAATGAAACAATCTTATCTTGAATCATACAACTCTCCTTCTAAACCTATAATTTGGTGATATATATATATATATATATATCACCAAATTCCAATGCTTAAATAATTTGTTATTTTCAAAACAAAAAAAATTAGACCGCATTCAACGAAAGATAGCATGCCCGAAACTTATGGTTTCCACCGCAACACGAAATATTGTTTAAAAATTATATATGAAGTGTGATAAAAAAATCCAATTGTTTTCATTATTTTTAAACTGGGAAAATGTTAGATGTTTTAAAATTTTAAATATAAGTAAATCATGCATTTGTATCGAATAAGTTATGTTTTAACAGACAAATTTATTTTTTTAAACAGAAATTATATATATAAAAATAAATATATATATATATATATATATATATATATATATATATATATAACTGTTTTATACCAGGATTTCTTTTTTTAATGTCGTTCGATCCGCGATTTTAATAGAATTTTTGTAGTAAAGTTATGTTTTGATTGATAACTTTAATTTATATATTTTTAAATTATTTTTTATTAAAAATTTGATTTTTATATTTATTAAATTAATAAAATAATTAATTAATTATTATTTAGATATCAATAATATTAAATAATTTTTAAATATATTAAATCATTATAAAAAATAGTA